GAGAGAGAGACGAGAGAGAGAGAGAGAGACGAGAGGAGAGCAGAGAGAGAGAGAGAGATAGGGGAGGGGGAGGGGATAAACACGTAACATCCGATGATCAGGGGCGTGTACAGGGAGGGGGGTCCAGGGGGTCCGGACCCCCACCCTGGCTCGCGCAGAAAACGCATCTAAAGGGGTCTAATTTCAATATTTTTGGGGGAGGGGCCCCCAGACTCCCCTTGCGCGTGCTCGCAAGTTTGGGGTTACGCGTTAGACACCCCCCCCCCCTGGTACAAATTCCTGTACACGCCCCTGCCGATACGTATCTAATCAACGAAGATCAGAGACCTGAACAACGGTGTTGTCAACAATCGTCAAGTTTTATTCCATAAAACACCTGCATTACTCGCATTTGCTACGCCATTTTATTACAAAAAAAAAACAAAGCATTTCAGCTTCAGCACGAACCTAAAATGATCAAATCACGGACACATACATTGAACGTCATTAGAATGCATGGAGGTGGCCAAGGTCGTCAGTAACAGCTTAAATACAGCATATGTATAGCATGCAGGAAGGGATAATTATTTTTAAACTATGTTTAACAGCATGTATTTAAATTGTACATCAACACACAATACCATACATACACACATACATACACACACACACACATACATACAACACACACATACATTACACACATACACGCACGCACGCCACGCCACGCACGCACGCACGCACGCACGCCACGCACCCACACACACACACACACACACACATACATACATACAGATGTGTGAGCACACGCACGCACGCACGCACGCACGCACGCACGCACGCACGCACGCACGCACCGCAACGCAGCACGCACGCAACCCACACACACACACACACACATACATACATAATAACAGATGTGTGAGCACACGCACGCACGCACGCCACACGCACGCACGCACACACCCGATGACACCAGGGGCCGGTTTCACGAAGCGTAATTAAGTCCTTAATCATGATTAAATCACTAATCATGATTAACTTCCCATACTTAAATTGAAGTGACTGTTTCCCGAAGCGTTATTAACTTTAATCATAATTAAGTTAATCACAATATTTAATTCTACTCAGGAGCATGATTAAATCCACTAATCATAATTAGTTGCTAGTACTAGTAGTAGTATGTAGGTGGTAATATTACAGTAAGTACACTGCAGATTTTACAATTGGAAATTTTACTTCAATTTTTTACCATGGAAATTTAAATTATCTAAGATTAGCTGTACTAATTTAGTTCATTATAATTGCAAATTAATTTCCTTTTCATGTTACCGGAATTGCAATACTTTTGGCGGTTGTCCGCCATTTTGAAACAGTGTAATTCATGGTTAAGTCGGCTAATTATGTGATTAGTTAAATACTGTACTTAAATCGCTTTCGTGAAACAGATTTTTAAGTATGATTAACTAATCATAATTACAGGAGGTTAATTATGATTAGTGATTTAATCATAATTAAAGTTAATCACGCTTCGTGAAACCGGCCCCTGATGATGTCACAACAGCCATGTAAATATGAGACCGATGTAACGACGATGAAACACGAAACACACGTCGCGCGCGCGCGCAACCCCGGCGTCTGTGTAGAAGCAGCTGCTGTACCCTCTCTTATTAGGGTGTTGCTATCCCCCGGGCGTGGAGGGAGGTCACGTGATAACGTTGACGATGACGTTCAAAATGTTAACCCTAACGGTAACTCTCAGTCCAACACCGCCACCACTAACCCTCACACTAAATATATATGTGTTGCCGCGCTATATATAGCAGTGTTATCCACAAAATTAAGCTATGGTGTGGGGACAGATAACATGATGCAAAAACCCTAACGCTAACCCTAATCCTAACCCTAACGCTAACCCTAATCCTAACCCTAACCCTAATCCTAACCCTAACCCTGACCCTAACCCTAATCCTAACACTAGTGCTGCCACGTTGCGGTCACCTCCCTCCACGCCCGGGGGATAGCATTACCCCTCTTATTAGGTCAGCATATGTTTCCATGGCTCAGAGTATGATCGTGACGTCACTCACGAACTCATCTATCTCAGAAGGTGAATGCAGAGACGCTAGAACAGATTACTGTCAGAATTTATTATATTCAGAACATTCCTATACAGAACTATTAGTGTTCTATTGTTTCTGGGCTGTATCCATTCACCTTCGCAGATAGCCGAGTTCGTGCATGACATCACAATCATACTCTGAGTCATGGAAATATGTGCTGACCATTATTATTATGCCGACCCCATACGAGTGTGATAAACCTGGAACATGTGCGGGAGCAGTGGCGCCACCTGCTGGTAACCCTGGAACATGTGCGGGAGCGTGGCTCAACTGTTGGGTAACCCTGGAACATGTGCGGGAGCAGTGGCGCCACCTGCTGGTAACCCTGGAACATGTGCGGAGGCAGTGGGCCGCCACCTTGCTGGTAACCCTGAAACAAAACATAATTTTTTCTGCGGGACGCAGTGGCGCCACCTGCTGCGTAACCGTGGAACATGTGCCGGCGAGCGTGGCCTCAACCTGTTCGGTAACCTGGAACATGTGCGGGAGCGTGGCGCCACCTGCTGGTAACCCTGGAACATGTGCGGGAGCCGTGGCTCAACCTGTTGGTAACCTGGAACAGTGGCCGGCAGGGGCGTAGAGCTCAAACGCTGCCGGTAATCCTGGACTCATGTGCGGGAGCAGTGGCGCACTGCCTTGGTAACCCCGGACCATGTGCTCCCGGGAGCATTGGCGCCACCTGCTGGTAACCCTGGACCATGTGCTCCCGGGAGCGGTGGCGCCATCTGCTGTGACGACACTATTTGTGCATACAAGCCGTGACAACTCTCTAGCTTGTGCAGTGATGGAGTTAGACTGTAACTGTGTGCGTGCGTGTAGCTAGGGTGTGGATGCGTCCGGCAGCGGCGGCGCGGCACCAGCCGGGCGGTAGCGGTTTCAGTGCCGCGCGCAATGTGCGGAAGAGGCGCATGCACCTTCGATTGTTGAACAATTCTGTTCGCCGATCAACGAACTGTTAATCTCCTCGTCACCTGGTGGCAGAGAAGACGGCGATGTCAGTCATAGCAGCGGCTCATGCGAGAACGAACGTAAAGTGATTACGTCACCGTAAATAATAAAAGTACAAAAATTATGTCCACTTTTTCACGAAATGCAAGTGATTCTGTTCACTTTTTATGGTTAATTGCATGCCATATATACTTCTTTATTCGCTTCGTGTGAACAAACACTCGTGCACTCATACATAGCATGGCAAGCATTTAATTCGCTCGCTGATAAATATATCAAATCGCCCCAGTGTTTATTTTTTAACTAGCTAAAAACAATCTCTAGCGTAGAAGTTGAGAGATACATTTAGCGCCGTTAGTACATACATTTCATGTAATTTTTTTATTTTACAAATATACACCATAGAAAATTCGTGACGTACGTCAATTTAATCGGAAGCACGTCCAGATGAAGGAGACAGGGAGAGGTGAGATGAGAGTGAGAAATAACGGCACCCCTTGCAATGCACGCTCAAGTCCCTGCCCCCACAGCTGCACACAGACAGGCTAGACCCAACACGCAATCACACAAACACACCACACACACGCACGCACGCACGCACGCAGCGTACACACACACCCACACCACACATACTGCCGCGCATGCTCACACACACGAACAGCGGCACGCGCACACACGCACACACGCACGCAGCGTTACACACACACAACAGCACCCACATACTGGTGCCGCCGCATGCTCACACACACGAACGCTCAGCCGCCACAGCACGCACGCACCGCACGCACAGCAGCGTACACACAACCCACACAACACATACTGTGCCGCGCATGCTACACACACACGAACAGCGCCGCGCACGCACGCGCGCAGCGCACGCACGCCACGCCGCCACGCACGCACGCACACAATGACTTGGTGCCCGGCATGCTCACACACCAACGAACAGCGGCACTGCGCACGCACGCACGCACGCACACAGTAACCACAAACACTGTGCCCACTCGACAGACAGTGCCCAGCACCCCACCACCACGCAACCACAACACACACACACATACTGCGTGCGCGCATGCTCACACACACAACAGCGGACGCGCCACGCACCGCACGCACGCACGCACGCAGCGTACACACACACCCACACACCACATCTCTGTGCCGCGCATGCTCGAACACACACGACAGACGCACGCCGGCACACGCACGCACGCACGCACGCACGCACCACGCACGCAGCAGTCACCGACACAACACACACACACCACATACTCGAGGCATGCCACCATGCCACACGACACGACAGCACGGCACGACGCCACGCACGCACGCACGCCCACGCACGCACCACGCACGCACGCACGCACGCACGCACCGCAGGTACACACACACCCAAACACACACATACTGCGTGCCCCCGCGCATGCTCACACCACCGACAGCGAGGCGACGCACGCACGCACGCACGCCACCACGCACGCACGCACGCAGCGCAGCAGCAGTACACACCCACACACCACATTACTCGGTGCGCGCGCATGCTCACACACACGAACAGCGGCACCGCGCACGCACGCACGCACGCACGCCGACGCGCAGACGTACGCCACGTAGCATACACACGCACCCACACACAACGATACTGGTTGCCCGCCCGCATGCTCCAGCACGCAACGAACAGCGTGCACGCACGCACGCACGCGCGCGCACGCACGCAGACGCACGCAGCACGGCTGGACACACACAACCACATACACAATACTGGTGCGCGCATGCTACACACGAACCAGCAGACACGCTGCACCGCACGCAGCACCGCACGGCCACGCACGCAGGTACACACACACCCACACACACATACTGCGTGTTGCCGCAAATGCTCACACACAGCAACAGCGGCACGCGCCGCACGCACGCACGCACGCACGCACGCACGACGTACACACAACCCAACACACATACTGGCGTGCCGCGCATGCTCACACACACGAACAGTGACGGCGACGCACGCACGCACGCCACGCACGCACGCAGCAAGGTACACACACACCCACACACACATACGTCGGCGCGCGCATGCTCACACACACGCACAGCCGGCACCGGCACGCACGCACGCTCACGCACGCATCGCCGAGGTACACACACACCAACACACACATACTGGTTTGCCGCGCATGCTCAACACACACGCACCAGCGGGCACGCGCACACACGCACGCACGGCACGCACGCACGCACGCACGCACGCACGCACGCACGCACGCAGTATGTGTCAGGGTTCTCCAAGCTTTGAAATAATAGCATGGGGGTGCTACTCACTACTAGGGGGGTCCGGGGGCATGGCCTCCCGCAAAATGTTTGAATTGTAGAAGCTCTGAGATGCAATCTGGGACACGCTGTGTGTAAATTTGAAGCACTGCATGTGGGGTAAAAATGTTTGTTTTGCATGGGCAAAGCCATCGGAAAATTCAAATTAATTATTTCTTGATGAGCTAGAAAACACTCGGATTTGAAGTATGAAAATGAACATTATTGTGCCAGCTAGCCTATACCAGTTGGTTGGGATTGATTGTCAGTTCAGATGCAAAATATTTAAAGCAAAAGGTTATACACCATAGATTAAATTTGGTACTATAACACGCGTATATAAGATAGCCGAGTCGGTTTACAGTTAGCGTTAGGGTTAGGGATAGGGATAGGGTGACTGTTTGTACTTGTGTGTGGGATTTCCGTACCCGTAGCATCGAGACCAACGTCTATTAATTGTTGTATTATTAACTTCTTGTGTATACAGCAGCATGGTGGCTATGACATTTATCATGGTGGCTATGATATTTAGCGTGGCGGGTGCATTGTTAGGATGGCGGGGCTCGACGATAGCCTGGGTGCCCTTTGAGAACCCTGCAGTGTGTGTGTATGTGTGTGTGGGTGTGTGCGTGTGCGTGCGCGTGCGTCAATTCATCTTTCAGACATTATTAGATATCATCAGGAGCGTATATTGACAAATTATTTGTCATTATACGCTCCTGATATCATCAGTAACAGTTGATCCCCCACAACACACGCGCATACAAACACACACAATCACACACACGCGCGCACGCACGCACACACGCACACACACGCGCGCACGCACGCACGCGCACAAACGTACAGATGATGACGCTACGTACACTACACTGTGGTTCTAATATTAACCGTGTTACGACTATACGTGCGCTAGTATTAACAGCAGAACATGGTAACGTACCATGCATGCTACTACGCTATAATGACGCCAGTACTACCGATCTGACAGCGCAGTACCAATCAATTCACAATTCATCTTTCAATCATTCTTTAGATCATCAGTTGTTACCCCCCCCCCCCACACACACACACACGCGCATACAACCACATGCACACACACACACACGCACACACGCACACACGCACACACGCACACACGC